CCAGCCCACATCTGCGTGAGTCTTAAGGGACAATTGTACAGTTGAAGGGGATAACTTAATAGGCAGACAAAAGTTTTGGGGTGCATCAGGAATCGGGTCTGAAAGAAGAGGGGGAGAGAATGCACCAATTTATATTGTCTCTGGGTACACAGGCCCCCTTAATTACCGGTAACCACAAACATAACAGTGCTGTACCTTAACCTTAGAGCTCCCAGAGTTCATTGTAGGAGTCACCTAACACCAGTGCTGGGGGCAGGTAAGGGGAGTGGTTTTCCCCTGAGCAGGGAGAGCAATAACTATGTCTGCTCCTGTAGATAAGAGCTGCAATCAGCCATGCACTTGTGAGAGATAATTTTATGGTAGCAGTATAATGGGAGGATATTGTAGAATGATTTTTAATTATGAGAATATGACCGGGTCTCATCTCCAACTCAAAAATATGTAAGGCCTCCCTCCACCCAGAACCATGGCCTCCCTAAAGAACTTGTCCGTTTTCCACAGTAAGATTACTTCCTATGAAGCCATTGTATACCTGCTGTCATCAAGTTGGTTCTGACTCAAAATCTCTACTTAAGTCACCCAGTGATGCCCTGTAAAACCAAACCAAACACTGCCCGGTGGGTATCATCTTCAAAAGGGTGGCATCTGTGGTAGCCATTGTGTCAGTCTAAGTCTTTTTTGCTCACCATCTACCAATCATGATGCCCTTTGCCCCAGAGACTAGCACTTCCTGATAATACCAGAGTACATGTAATGCAGTCTTGCCATCTTCACTTTTTAAGAAACGTGTTAATTGGTATATACAGATTTAAGTTTTTACTATGATCCAAGCCAAGGAGATTAACCACAGTCTACATTTTCATACTGTCACTACTTTGGCACATTTAAATTTTTCATTTTGCTAATTCACTACAAACAGTGACCTATAAACTTGCTGGCACAGTAGGATTTAAGGATCCCTTCTTTGTTTTCTATGGTAAGAAAAAAACTAAATGGTGTGTTGAAGTCAGTACTATGGCTCTCCACCTCTGGTTATGGCCTCTGAAGATGCGTAGGGCTTGTCCCAAGTAACATCCATTTTCCCTGCAACCTAATTTATAAGAAACAGTTGAGTGAATGTTTTACAATTTAAAATTCATTCTTAAGTCCCCATCATAATTGTGAAGTTATCAACTGATTTTGTGGGCTGTCGCAGAACTGCTAATCCCACCAGCCCAGGGTCATGTTCCGCAGCCCCACCAACTCCTTGATTTGTACCCACCATGCCCTACCCTGTAAGCAGCTTAGCTGCCAGCCCATACATCACATATTCCTGGATTCCTCTGAGCACAACCTCTGCACATCAGGATGTCTTTATTGCTCCCTCCAATATGGCACTGATAAGGATTCCTCACTGTTTGACACCTTACGGTTTGGGGGACAATAGACTTTGGATGCCCCGGTCAGCTTCTACAAACTAGACCCAGGCCCTCTACCTCCAGCCCCACTGCCTGCCCCAGCATTGATACATTGCCTATATAACTTGGCCTGACTTCTCTGTAAATGCCCTCTCCCCTCCACTTTGGCAGGGGGTTGCCACTCTGGATCACTTCAGTTACCTGGACCAAAGTTGAAAAGCCAATCAGATGTATGTGTTCACAGATCTAGAGGTAGCCCATTGAGTGATGGAGTGTGTGCAGGTGTGGTTACAACTACAAAAAGATGCCGGTGTGGGATGTACACTTAGGATCCTAGACATGAGGATGGAGGGCAAGGAAGGAAATGACTGGAAAAGGACAATGTGTAGCAAGTGACCAGGCTTACAATCCGATTTCCCGTTCCTCGGTCCAAAGTAGGCCCACAGTCAGTGTAACAACCCTGTTTTCATTCTTGGCATACAAGTTTATTAGTTTTCCCTGGGACCTTCTCTGTCTCCATTTGGCACAATGAATGCAGTAAGAAAGCTGAACCTACACCCATTGTAACTCAGTTGATTGCCACTCCCTGTCTCTAAGGGCATCACAATAGACCCTAATAACCAAATATATCTGGTTTGCAACTGAGTGTCTACCTGGTACAGAGTATGGATGAATGAACAGATTGACGGGGCATTTGGGGATTTCTGTTCCCAGAACAAGGGTCTGAGATTGATTGTCACTTCAGCCAAAGACAAACCAGGTTGATTGGAGAAACCGAGGTTTGCTACCTCCAAATTGCTTCTGAGATCCACTTAAAATCAAGCAAGTTATATGCCCCCAAACTGACTAAAAGGTTTTTCAGTCAGCACAGGAAACGATCTGTACACACATTGTCCCAAGGGTGGTTTATCATGAGGTTAACAATTACCAGGAGGGCCATCCCGGAAACAACCGCTCTGCTGCCTATCCAAGAGGCTGCTTCATGCCTGGCTGCCCCTCTCTAATGGCCTTCCTTACACAATCCTTCAGCTAAAAGACCATCCCTTCTGATATAAGCATAAAAGGAATATAACCCCCTCCCAGCTGGACAGACAACAGAAAAGGAATTTTTACCAGGGGGTTGGTTCATACAGCTACAGAAAACTCCATTTTGGGTTTTTAAGTAAAACTTGTTAAATGTCTAGTATTTTGATTTAACACCCCCCTCTAACAACTCCATGATAGATTTTTTAAAAGCTAATTTGAGGTGTTAACTTTTCTTTTTGTAGGCCTTCAATGGAACAGCATTGACTATTAAACTATAGTAATTTTTTATGTGCCCATGTATTCTCTAGCTCATAGTTACTAAACTCGCTTGGTCCCTGCCCCTTTAGGGGGTGAAAAAACATTAGCGTCCCCTCCCTGGCAATTACAAACTTTTAAATTACAGCTGCTTTGTCAGCTCCCTGGATCATTCCAGTGCTCCCAGGGGGTGGGATAACCCTCTTTGGGAAACACTACCTAGCTCATGAGTTGCACTTTGTGCTTGCTTGATTCCATATCCTAAAGGTTAATTGTTCGAACCCACCCACTGGCACTGCAGATTGCAATCAAGAACATTCTGTGGCTCATGGCCTGTGAAAACGTAATGAACAATGTACCATGGTGGGTTGAGGACAAACTGACTATAGAATGGAGTCTTGGTGGTACAGTGGGTTATGCTTCTGGCCAGTGCTGGAAAAGTGTATAGTTCAAGCCCACCTGTTGCTTCTCCAAGGGAGAAAGATGGGTAGTCACCTTCCATCGTGATTTATATACTGAGGAAACTGACTGCACAGTTCTACTTGTCCTATAGATTCGCTAGGAGTGGGACAGTCGGCAGAGAGCTTGGCTTGATGAGCCTATGTAAGTATTTGAATTATTGTGTTGGTGAGTAATACTGAGATACATGGACTCCTGAAGAACAAGAAAATGGGCTTTGGCTGCTACAGTGGACTCACAGCAAAGCAAGGACGAAGCTGGAGCAGGCAGTGCTTCCTTCTGTTGTTCAGACTCTAGGCACCTGACAAACAAGATCTTTGTGACCAGTCCCTGGCCCTGCGGAAATGCTGAGCAACTGTCATCTTAAATGTCTCTTCAGGGAAATCTAACTGCCAACGTAAATGGGACAACTTTCTGAATAGCAAATCTCAGCCATGAGGTTTTATTTTTTTTCTTTAATTTGACAGGAAAAATACTACAGACATTTTCATTCCTTAGGAGTGCAGAAATTGCAAAATGTCTAAAATTAACTTCAGTAAGATAAATCATTAGGGGGAGTAAAGATTATGAAATAATCTGGGTAGTTTAGTAGAGATTAATAAAGGATCTATTTAAGGTGTGGACTGGGTTATGAGAAACCAGCAAGATAGAGACGAGCCTGTATACACTCCCCTTACCTTTCAAGAGGCAGGGGAAGCTAGGGTTAGTTAGGGGAGGGAGCCGCTAATGGAAATTGAGAGAGTATACTGATACAAGCTTTTAGAGAAGACAACAAAAAAAATCATCTGTGTGAATGAAGGAGAGTGCAGAGTAGAGACCCCAAGCACGTTTGTAGATAATTGGACATCCACTTACAGAAGGGTCACAAGGAAGAGATGAGCCTGGCAGGGTGCAGCATAGCACTGGTGAAACCTACAACTTTCCTCTAGTTCTTTAATGCTACCACCACCACTATCATGACCCCAATTCTACCTGACAAATCTGGCAAGACCAGAGCATGTACACTTGTACAGATAGAGCTGGAAAAGGAATCCAGGACAGGTAAACCCCTCAGGACCAGTAATGAGAGTAGTGATACCAGAAGGGGAAGGTTGGGGGAGAAGGGGGGAGCCAATCACAATGATCTTCATATAACCCCCTCCCAGGGGGATGGGCAACAGAAAAGTGGGTGAAGGGAGACAACGTAACATGAAGAGTTATTGAGGGTGGGGGAGGGGAAATGAGCAGATATTAAGGGCTCAGGCAGAAGGCAAATGTTTTGAGAATGATGA